TTCCATTCATTTAATTATTTTTATGAAGTCGTCAGTCTAATTCGTGTTTCTAAAATATTCCAAGCTAAAATTACGCGTATCGTTGCAAACACAAATACGTTTTATTAGTAACCAGCACTGCATCCGAATTCCGCAACGCATCTCATTCCACAAAACATAAAACACAAACCTCATATAAATTACGATTTCGAATGCGTATATTGCGTTACTATATTCTATTTCTAACCTAACCATTGAAACATTACAATGCAATAACAAATATAACCCGGGCGTCCAATAAATTTACGTTTCTGTGCGAGGTAAAACAATCGAGTGTTTAGTAACTTAATTTAATAGAAGCTGTTTATGTAATGTCATAAATCGTGAATGCTAGTCGCCAACATCTAGTTTGCAATGAATGGGTCAGTAATCATCTGCATTTGAGGCCATTATCTCAATTGGCGAGACCGGACACCGCACCCGGCCGCGCTCGGTGCGTTTGCAGCACAATGTGCATTTTTGTTGCGGACAATTCTAAACCACTTTACATGACTTTAATTTTTAACAAAAAAAGATAGGATGTGTTTTTAAATTGTCACAAAATATACTACAAATACTTTTATTTGCTTTATTATTTATATTTGATGACATGAAAAATGATTTGGAATAATAATCTTAATTGACATGTCATATCATATTGTAAGGTTTTACTTTCTTAAAGGCCGGCAACGCATAGTTCCGTTGGTGTTGCAGATGTCTACAGGTGTCGATGAAAACCTCGGTGTTCTCGCCGGTCGTTTACATCCTTCTCTTAAAAAAAAATTAAATTTATATTCTTAAACTTGTCGACACAATCAATTGTATCTTTTACATTTATAACCGACTTCAAAAAGGAGGAGGTTCTCAATTCGATTGTTTTCTTTTTGCTATTTCTAGTTGTGAAGACTGTCGTCTTGTCGCTGCGGGACACTCAATGAATGCCCTCGCTCTCACACTTGACCGCTTTCATTCATTATGAATGTTTCTCTTCTGCAGCAGTTTTCTGCAATGCGTATAGAATAATTAATGCCTTTGTTAGCAAAAGATTAAAGACAACGCGCCTCTGATAATGTCAACTACGTAATAGATTTTATAATGAAGTTAATTATCATAATGAAACTTCAAGTATTTTGAGTATTAAAACGATGAACTGCGTATAAAATTAAGGGCTTCTCCCACCACTGGCTGATAGAGGCTCAGATAGCTTGAAAATGACATCACTGTCACTTTACATGTTGCATTGTTATCAGACAATTAACCATTTGGTGGGACAGGCCCTCATCTTGTATTCACTATTTTTCTGTAGATAAACTGTAAATCCAGTTATTTATCTATCTGACTAAAAAAAGGTTTTTTCATACTCGTAGACGTTTTTATAAAATATTTCTTGCCATATTACGAGTATTTATGTATTCTTAACACGTACTAAATGTATTTTTAAGGAAAAATAACTTGTACATTTTCGACGTGGTACGATTCTTTCGTTACATTTTCATTTCGACGGATTGAATGACAAATATAGATTTTTATTTTCAACTTGAAGGCTCGAAGGCACATAAAATATGAAAGTATAGTCGAATACAATGCTACGAATGTTGTAAGTTTATGTATTTTATACATCAGTTTCATAACGTGTATACAAAGAGCAAGGATGGCTTCGGTAAGAGACAAATGGGGAATAAAAAAATAACAATAAAATTTCAGTATGTAGTTTATTGAATAACGGAAAATGTAACAGTAATAAGTATAAGGATAGGGTTAGTCAAGTTAATTTTCAAATTAAACTAAAATCTATAAGATATAATAAAAATCGTTTTAATCCTCCAATTATATTTTTTCGATAGAATTTTGTTTTAATTTTCAAAGTATTATTTTATATGACATTAGTAGATTTTTGTATCTTTTAACGATTCCAGGTAAGCTTGAAAATGCTTGGGTCAGTATATGGTTCACGACAAAAATTGAATAACGGGATTCAAACCCTCGACCGCAATATCGGTAGTCCCTACCGTTCATTAGGCTATTGACGCCTAAATAATTGTTCCCCGTAAGTCCTATTTCGTGTACATTTTTGACCGACTTCCCAAAAGAAGGAGGTACTCAATTCGTCTGTATGTTTTTTTTTTTTTTTTTTTTTTTTTTTTTTTTTTTTTTTTTT